CAAAAGGAAGAAATTAAATATGCAAGCCTCCCAGACTTTGTTGCTAATAATAGGAGTTTGTGTTTCACAAGGAGCATTGAGCAAATGAACTGCCTTGCATGTTATTGCCGTGGGGTTGGAGGGAAGCAAGGTCAATTTTGTTTTCCATTGGGATCATGGGTTCTTTTTAAAATTCCTTTAATGGTTTATAGCAGCCTGCAACTAGTTCAAACTAGCACCAAAATAGCCTAGCAAAATAGTAATGTAGACTTGTAAAAGCACTTTGTTTGTGCAGCTTGATTCAGGAATTTGTGGGCCAACGTAATTCATGATAAAGTCTAATGGAAGATTAAAGTAATTCTCAATAAAATTCATTTCAGATTCTGTATTTAAGTCTCTTGCTTCGAAGAAATACTGACTACTATCCCAACTGTTTTAACTTTCCTGATATTTACACATAGGGACACTCCATGTACATTTTATACAGACAGTTGTGTATTATACCTTTGGTGAACTGCAGCTGGTGTATATATAATAGTATATGTTGTTATGGATATGATTTAGGTATACTAGCAAACAGTTCTTTAAAGTAAATATATTCTGCATCTCAGATTCTTTGAACAAGACTTTTTAAAAATATATAGAGATGAAGTATTCTAAAGGTACAAATTAATCATCCAGTAATAACATTAAGTGGTAGCAGTCTAGTAAACTACAGAAGTCATCACAAAATATAATAACATTAGTCTAAATAAAAGCTTTATATTATGGAAAAGCAGCAGCAACACATTTTCTGTGCCTGCTTTAAAAGTTTATAATATGTATATATTTTAACTTTACTGTTTGGTCAGTTTATTAATAAACAGGTTCTTTTGACTCTTACAACTGAATGTAGACATTACAAATATATATATGAAACGGCACCATCTCCATTAGTCAGAACAAAGTCTGTTGCTTTTTCTGGGGCTATCTTCATCTGAACCTTACTCAGAATAGGCTAATGGCAGACCAGTGTGCAGTTCTTTGCCCAAATGATTGAGCTCAAAGTGCTGTTAGATACAACTACCATGTCAAGTGTAAGAGTACTAGGGCAATTCCAGTTGTATTCTCTGACAGTTAACTAATGTAACAATAACAGTGACAGATGCAACAGTAACCATAACAATAATTTGATATAATGTACCAATTTCTATTCTGTTTAGGATGGGATAAAATATATTGTAAACTCTTGCAAAGATTGCAGTAGGAACTGAATAGGGAAGGAGTTCTGTGAGTTCTGTTGTTACTAAGTTTGCAAAACAACTGATAAGTAATCTTTCAAGAAACAAAGATATTTCATTTTCTCTTCTGTTTTTTTTTATCTTTCTACATGATATTACAGTTTATTGAATAGCACTGGTTCAGATTTCTTACCACTTTGTAAGAAGTTACAGGAAAGCGAATGGGAGGAGCTCTAAACAGAGTTACATATGGCATGGCATTGCTGAAGTGGTCTCTGTCTCAAGGGTCCTTGGCTGTGAAAGCAGTATTCCAAACAGAGCTCTGACTTCTAGAGGCTGCACAGAATGAGGGAAAGTAAAGTTGTAAATGAAGAGGATATGTTTCCTTTAAAGCTCAATGTCTGCTTTCCTTCTGCTGTGCGTTAAGTGTAAAATTTAACAGTCGTTAAACAGTTAGAACAGTTTTGTGCACAAATTCTGTATATTAGTATTCCCTGATGGATTTTTCAAAGCGAGATTTTTGTCCGGTGTTTCTCATCATAAATTCACACTGTTTCTGTTGTTCCCACAAGGAGTGCGTCAAAGAGGTAAGAATTTCAATCACACAGATATACAGTATATTTAAATTAGGCTCTTGAACATAAGTATCAGATTATATCTATACTTAATAATGACAATGTTTTCTTTAAAGATTTAGTATTTGTAGATGGTTAGGAATGTTCTTATGTAGGCAGACTGATTTCAGAAACATGTTACGACTTAAGTTTTGTGAAGATCTGGTTAATTTTGTGTGTTATGTTCATGTTGGTGGAGTGTAATAGGTCTTTAATGTTTGTGGCTACAAGAATATACAATACCAACATCTGTATTTTTCTAGCTGTTTGATATATTATGTAACTCGATTGTTCAGAATATTGGTTGTTAACTTAGGAATAAAGTTAAGTTGCAGTTTGTGTAGATTCTATGCATTGTAAAACAACTCCTCTCATATACCATGTGAGACAGGTAGAGTTAGATTCTAACTATAACTGTTTCCAATAGAAAGATTAATCTTGTTCAGAAAGGAAAATCAGAATACCTGCTAATGCCCATGTAAAATATATAGAAATTTTTACTGCTGAATGAATATTCTATTGTTTGATTGATCTGGTAGGAGTTCATTTTGATTGAAGATAAAACAAATTATCTACTATAAACAGTTACGACAACAGATTTGGATGTAGTGCAGAGAAATTTATCCACCAGTCTTCAACACATCTAATGGGGTAGTTAAGATCTATCTGAGAGAGAAATACTCTTGATCATTATGATTTTTAAAAATAATTTAATAAACACCAAATAGGATTTTAAAGGTAACTGCAGGAACTGAACAAATGCAGTCAATGTTCAGTCTGGGAGATTATCATGTCAGAGAAAGTCTTGTCATATAAAACTATACTTCTTAGATTTTTAATTTCATATCTATATAAATATAGATAGATATAGACATTAAAAACTGATTTGTATTGCATTTCTTTTGCCTTGTTCCATGAATGCTGACTGTAGGGGATTTTTTAAAATCAGGATTCTTATATATGTGGATCTATAACGTGTGTGTGTAGAGGGGACATGATAATAAAGTGATAATAAAGTGTTATTTACAGTGCCTCAATGCATATATGCACACTTGTATACATGTTTTTATGAAATGCTATACATTTCCTTATTATGTTAAAACTGAAAAGGTGGACTGGTGTATTTCTGTATTGCCTATTTGGAAGAGTGGTATGCTCATCTATTTCAGCCTCTATCAGTGTATGTTAATCCTTGAATCTTAGTAACTAAAATTTACAAAGATATTTAATAAGAATTGGAGGTTGGTACTCGCTTGAATAAGATGAGCAGTTTGGAGGACTATGGGAAGATGGTTGAATGAAGATTAGATGGTAATTTGTTGTTTACAGTCAGATCTGACCTTCATGACACAATGGATTTCACCAGGACTATCTATCAATAACAGCTTCTTGGGTTCTAGTAACTTAAGCTCATGCTTAAGTAGTTGAACTTAGCCACCTTGCTTTTTCTTGGCTTCTTTTTTGATTGCCCTCAATTTTTCCAAACAATTGGCTCTATGCATGGCATATACAAAATATGTAAAGCTTAACTTCATTATTTATGTATCCAGTGAGCACAATACTTGGGTGTCTAGTGGTTTTTACTTCATCGGGTATTAAATGATATATACTTTTTGTAATACAAGTTATTTTTGAACAGTAGTAACTAAGATAATTTTCAGAAAATTATCTGAACTGTGCTGTGCAACGTGGTTTATAAACTAGTCGTTTTTTTTTAACTTGAAAGACTTTTCTGTTGGTGGGGATCTTTGAGTTGTGAATATAAAATTTCCATGTTTTAAATATGCATGTAGTTTAGAATGTTATAGCTAGACCTACATCTTTCAATTGGGTCTGTGTTTTTCATCTGTTAGAAACTTTTTTAATAGATGATTAAAAATGGAAAAATGAAGATAAATAAGAATCATGTTAGAAAAGAAATTCTCCATTATATGACAGGATGAAAAAGTGGTTCTTGTGTGATGGCATGTTTGTGTGTAGGGGCACCTTTTGAGAGCATAGAGAAATGATTGAATTATTTTAGTAATACAATATGTATTCAATGAATCAAAACTCATTTACTATATTTTAATTAGGGAACAACTTTAATTTTAATTACATTTGCACATTTAATTCAAGAAATGTGCTATTAGTGTCCATGTTTTATAATCAATAAAATAAATGGCCATGAGATAATAATGCCAATGGCATTTACTCTTTAATGAAATGACTGATTGACTGACTGACTGACTGATTCTGCTACTTAAAGATTCCTGGTCTAGATGGCTAAATAAGCCAGCTGGGTGAACTTGGGCCAGTCACAATGTCAACCCAACCTAACTGAAAATTAGAGGAGGAAGGTGTGTTGGATATGTTCACTGCCTTGAATTATTTGTAAAAATAATAAAGGTGGGAAATAAATAAGATAGAAGACTGTAGGACCCATTTATGGAATACCTTGTACAGGAAAACCTTATCTCCTGATTTGGACAGAGTATTTCTCAACCTTGGCATCCTGGCCGGGAATTCTGGGAATTAAAGTCCACACATCTTAAAGTTGCCAAGATGGAGAAATACTGGGACAGAAGATCAAAAAGGTGTGTGTGTGTGTGTGTGTGTGTGTCTTTGTTCTAAAAAAGAACTTGCAATATCCAAAGTCTTGCAATATTTCTGAGTGCTAGACTATTTTTGTTCTGTGTATAAATTGTACAAATTGATTGTAAAGTTAAAATGGAGTAACTTTGAAAGCAGCCATATCTTATTTCACCCATGTCTTAAAAAGTGGACATTTGTTTAAAAAGGAAGACTCTGTTGGCACTGGGAGGAAATCAATCCACAAAAGGAATACCCTTATTGGACCAATGAAAACCACAAATTAATATCCACATTAATATTGGTAAGGTAGGCAAAGTAAGAGAGAGAAGGAAGGAGGAAAAATAGGTAGCTCAAGGTTGTAGAATGTGTGAGTGAGTTTAGTTGAACAAGATTATAAATTTTATAATAACCATTTTTGGATGCTGTAAAAATACTTTAATCAGTTGCTTTAGTCAAGAAACCTGTGAGAGAAATCATGAGACAAATCATCCTTTCATCTCTCATGTGTAATATATTTAATAAGGTAATTCACAGTATTTGCTTATATGTATATAAATATAAATAAAATATATGATAATGGCTTTCTTTGTTTGCTCTTATTTCTTTGTTTCAGGGAGTCAAGCCAGCCAGCTTTGATAAAGTAGCTATTCCTGAAGTGAAGGAAATAATTGAGGGATGCATTCGTCAAAATAAAGATGAAAGGTAAATGTTCTTCTACTTGGATTGAGCAGTAGAAATAGGCTGTGTGTTGACAGTTTTGATTAAAAATCTTTCAGTTAATCTGTAATGCATCAGTACTCTAGTAGAAATGTTGGCAGTTTCTTTCAGTAAAGGGCGAAATCCCACCTCTCTGGGTCTGCAGGCTTAGTGCAGCTGCCATTGGGATGGCGCCAGGCTGCAAGCAAGGAATCTTCCGAGAAGTGCCCACCCAGTATGCTCTGGTTTTCAGTCCTGTCCCTTGTCCTGGGAACCCAGCTAAAACCCTGGCCTGACAATCTCCATCTGCCTACCTGTTCTTTCTTAGCTCATGGGCTATACAAAAACAGACAGTAGGCAACTTCAGACCAACAGTCAAGTAAACAATCAAGAAACTGCCAAAAAGCCATTACTAAACAGCCCAACCAAAGAATCCCTAAGACCACTACCACCCACACAGACAAGCAAGACATCAGAATATAAACTGACAGCAAACAGCACTCCTTACTAGCACTGATGATGTTACCTAGTTAGGGTAATGAAACATTTGCAAGAAAACAAGCAAGCTCAGAGAGCACCAAGGACCCCTCATTTCAAAGCTGAGCTACAAATATTCTCCTTCATTAGTAGGCTGTATTTGTCCACAGGTCATAGTTTATTGACTCCTTCTTTAGTGTGTAATCTATGAATGTGGCACTGATTTTGCAAGCACACATTAACTTTTCTTTCAATCAAGGTCAAATTACACCCATAGTCTTTCTTTCAAGTTGCACTAATTACTTTCTTTCTAGAAAGGGCATAAATTTCCCATTTGTCCTCTCCTCTTTAAAGAATGGGTGAAGCATTAAAATGCATTGACACTATTTCATTTAATAATTAAGTAAAGATCTGCTGCCTCATCCACTGGCTATAGTATTGTATCATAATGATGTTTCCTTTAGATCTTTAAAAAAAATAAATGCTTCCTTTCTTTGGAGGACAAAGTGGCATGAATGCAATTTGACTTGGAATAAGAATTAAGGTTTTATTTGGGAAGAAAATACGTTCGGTTCAAATGGTAAAGTTTGAATAATCTTTGTATTTAGTTGCACTGCTTCTGTGTCCCTAAATCTCCATCTTACTCATGGATCCCCTAAATTGTATCTTGTTCTCTTCTTTCTATGATTAACAGATACGCTATCAAGGATCTTCTGAACCATGCATTCTTCCAGGAAGAAACTGGTGTGCGTGTAGAATTAGCAGAAGAAGATGATGGAGAGAAAATTGCTATTAAGCTCTGGTTACGAATTGAAGACATTAAAAAGCTAAAAGGAAAATACAAGGATAATGAAGCAATAGAATTTTCTTTTGACTTGGAAAGAGATGTTCCAGAGGATGTAGCACAAGAAATGGTGAGCAATAAAGGGATTAGGTATCTGTCTCTAAATATAGATTTTTGAGTTTAGAATATAGTTTGGTCCGTTTGCATTTTGATAACTATACAAAACTCAATACTTTAAAAGGAAATAATACAGGAAGCTATAATTCATGAGGGAATTATGTACAAAAATCATAACTAAACCTATAAGTCTCTCTATTTAATATAAGAATATTTTAAATAGGCAGATAACAATACAATTGGGCAAAACTTTGAAGTAAATACTATTTATATTAGCCAAGACCCACCACGTTTTTCAAAAGTGATTTTCTCCATTTTATACATTGCCAAGTTCTGGTGTATATTTAATGCTTCAGATATGGTTGACATGTATTCAGAAATAATATTATGGTATTTTACATAATTAAAAGCAATCAAGTCACTTGAACACTTGCTTTTTTTAAATGCAGTTTAGAATGTTTCTTGTCATGTTCCAGCAAAACTTTAAGCAAAATATTTAATTAGCAAAGTTTTTCTCCCATCAATCTGAGACAGATATTTCTAGATGTAATTTCTAAAGTTTAGCTACATAAAATGTTTGACATTTTTTTAAAAAAAATTCAAAATAAATCCACCTCAAAATGGTTTACAGAGCAGGAGATATTAAACAACAGAAATATAAATATAAACAACATAATAAACCTTTCATTTCAAGTCTATGTAGATTCTCAATCATCCAGGTCATGGTTGTCCCAAAGATGGTTTTTTCTTTGAAAATGTTTCTCCTTCTCATCTGAGAAGCTTCTTCAGTTGTAACTAACTGTTACTCAGCGAGTAACAGCCGATCCTCAGAAGTCTTTTAACAACCAGATGTCTGCAAAGAATATAAATCTTTCCATTCCCCACCAGTCAGTTAGAACTGAAGAAGTTTCTTGGATGAGAAGTGAAATGTTTTCAAAGGGAAAAAAACAAGAAAGTCCAGTTGCCCTTTGGAAAAAGCACAGTTGGTACTTTCATTTCAAGATTACAAATAGAAATCAGTACTTGAAACAGTAGCTGATTGAATATATTTAATTAAAAGTGAATTGAAACATTCAAGTCTTAAAAACATCCTGGTTTGAGTTCACCTGTGACTTCAGTTAATAAAACAGGACACTGCATCTAGGCTTTCCTTCCATTCCACGTACCTGTGGATCAGTTGTCCTATGAGGCTGAACAATAGTGCCTATTCTAATAGTTACACAAGTGGTTTATTTATTTAATAAGATCTCATAACATTTTGGGAGAATACTATGATGAATAATTTAAGTCAAATATTTTCTTCTAATATTCTTCTAATAGTAAATGTTACTTTAAAACTGACAAGCTGATTGTTTTATTTTTGTTGTGTCATTCTAGAAGTGGCTGTCTTACTATAGTTAATACCATCCATTCCTGTTTTGTGTGCCTTTTATAGTTATTTTTTAACTGTGAATGTTTTTAGGCATTATTTTTTTATTGATTGCTATACGCTGCTCAGAGTCACTTTTGCGTGAGATGGCGGCTATATAGATATGATAAATAAAATAGATGTATTTATTGTAATTCACCATTTTCTAATAGTATGAACTGTTCTTCCTTCAGGTTGAATCTGGATATGTCTGTGAAGGAGATCACAAAACAATGGCTAAAGCTATAAAGGATAGGGTGTCTTTGATTAAGCGAAAGAGAGAGCAGCGTCAGTTGGTGAGGGAAGAACAGGAGAAAAGGAAACAACAAGAAGTCAATCAGAAGCAGCAGACAGAACAGAAAACACAAGCAGGGTCTGCCCAGCAAGGCACAAAACAGGCTGTGCCTACTACAAGTGTCACTGCTGTTCCCACCACTTCAACTTCTGTTTCTACCCAAGTAGAACCTGAGGAACCCGAGGCAGATCAGCATCAACAGGTTCAGTTCCAGCAACCCAGCGTTTCCGTATTATGTAAGTACTTTCTGTAGGTGCCACCCAACTTCCACTTTTTTCACTCTTGGATGGTGGAGGCTAAGCTGTCATTAGAGATTAATGGTCAAATGTTGTACCTATGGATGCAGTTTCTGCCTTGCTGTTATGTTCATGAAATAGACACTGGTTCCTGCAGTGACAAAATAATTACAACAGAATCTAAATCATCATTGTTGGTTTCATATCTAGCAGAGAGAACCATAAATTGGCAGAATCAGTTGCTGCCATTGTCATCTAATCACACAGTGGAGAAGCCACTATTTTTCTCCATTTCATCTCTTCCTTACTATCATTAACATTATTATTAAACTCCAATAGTTACATAAATTATGGTATTGTCATCAGACTGGGCGGGATTAATCTATTTCCTCTATTTAGGAGAGAACTAAAAAAAATAAAAGGTTCAAACGACTCCTTTGGGGGGGGAATACATACTTCACTCTACTACCTACTTTAACAAATAGTTCAGGTACATTGTGAGCGAGAAAAGAAAGGCTGGGAGGAGACTTAGGCAGGCAACTTGGGACCTTTCCTGCTGACTTTGCTTCTGGGAAGCCAGCAGAGAAGGTAGCAAATGGCAATAACATGACCACAGATGCTGCAGTTGGTCGTAAGTACAAACCGGTTGCCAGGTGCCCCAATTTTGTTCATGTGACTGCGGGTGCATTGCAATGATCAGAACTTCAAACACAGGTCATATGTTTCCTCTTGAGCCCTGTCCTATTCTTCACAAGGTGAAGCTACTGAATTATTTCCAAATGCAGCCCAATACAGAATCTATCACTGTCTTACTAGCATATAAAGGGAAAGGCAATTTTGTTCACGTGACTGCAGGTGCACTGCAATGGTTAGAACATCAAAGACTGGTCATAAGTTCCCTCTCCAGCCCTGTCATATCTTGGAATAATTGCTGAACAAGTAGTCATGACTCAATATTGTATGCATTGACAATCAATGCAGTTTAGCTGTTGTATGACCTGGCTGTCCTGGCCCACAGAAATATTCACACGTCCTGTTCTGCACAAGATGAAGCTACTAAATTATTTCCAAATGCAGCCCAATACAGAATATATCACTGTCTGACTAGCATATAAAGGGAAAGGCATAGCACGTGGCATATGAGTTTAAATGAGTCTAAAGTATTTGTGACTACCATTGCCTTCCTAGCATCTCTGCTTAGAATCAGATCCCAAAAAGTTTCCCGAGATGGAACTGCATCTACAACCAGGTTAAGGATTAATCTAGATTGACTCTGTTTGCCTGTTTTCATCTCCCCAAAATTATTTTCTAACCTCACTTCAAGAAATAGTCAGCTTCCTTGATCCATATCCAGAGAACCAATCTAATCTACTACTGTGTGGAACTTACTAACAGGTAGTACTCCACTTACAACTGCAATTGAGCCTGAAGTTTCTGTTGCTAAGTGAGACAGTTAAATAAATTTTGCCCTATTTTAATGACCTTTCTTGCCACACTTATTAAGTTAGTAACACAGTTATTAAGTGAATCTGGCTTCCCCATTAACTTTGCTTGTCAGAAGGTCACAAAAGGTCACCTCATGATTCCAGGACACTGTAGCCATCAAAAATACATGCCAATTTCAAGCTTTTGAATTTTGATCACATGACTATGGGGATACTGAATCCTCATAAGTATGAAAAATGGTCATAAGTCACTTTCTTCTTCTTTTGCTAATGTTTAACTTGAATCTAGCATATGGGCAATTTGTGATCTATTCCATAGTCATGTCTTTGGTATTAATAACTAGACTCTTGCATTTCCTTCTACCAGCTACACAATTAATTTAATTTCTTCTCTGTGTACTTCATCTTGATATGTCCATCTATATATTGGCATTGTTTTAATTGTTTGAGGAATGTGTTAGCATTAAAATATCATTGGACTGGCAAAAATTGATAACTCGGCTGGGGGGGGGGGAGAGAATGGACACACATGGGAAAATTCCTTCCTCTTCTCTTAAGAGGGTTTACAAGCTAAAGTAGTGTGTTCTTTTATAATTATGTCAAGAGACACAAAATGTATGATTTCCTTTTTGGCTTACTTGGCATTCTTCAGTAAGACACAAAGGCTGGAGGAAACTGCAGGTAAATCACTAAAATTACATAAGTGGGAAGAAGACCAAAAGAGGAAATTGCACATTAGTGTCTCAGTTACTTTCCTCTGAATTACAATTATCATCTCCCAACTCCATGAAGCTCGTCTTTAAATGGCTTGAGACAACTTCTGATCTTAAGCTAGACTTTTATACCATAAGCAAAATTGTTACTACTGCCCAGGTAACTGTTATCTGTGAGATTCTGTCTATCATCATAACTATATAACTCTGTATGACTAACAACCAGTTTACCAAAAGAAAGAAAAAACAATATAAAAAGGATCACCATAACCCCCAAAAGTGAAACAGTCTGATACAAAAGAAAACTAAGGCATCATATAACCAGTTCCTCGAAACAGACACATGTTTCACTAACATACTGGCTCTGATAGGGTGGGGAGACACAAGGTTTAACAGCCTTCTAGAAGGTCAGGGCCCTGAGATACAAAAGGCATGGTGTTTGGGTTTGCTCTATGATTTGATTGGAATAAATTGTAAAAATATTTCCTAGACCTAGTATACTTATCTGGAGACTACAATTAAAAATATTCCCGTGGAGCTGATGAAGTGTGTTGAATTACTAATGGAGAATTAATATATATCTCCTTGTTATTACTCAGCCTGTTTTTGAATTGCAACAAGAGTTTTTAAGAAATTCAAAAGCCCACAGGCAGAAATCTTATGCTGTTATTTTTATTCAGGAGAATTTGAAGGAAATAATAACAGTAGTAATAGTACACATCCTGCAATGCTACCTTTAATGCCACCAAAGAACAACATCTGCCTATCCCAGGTCCTTGGGAAGGACTCGATAGGTGGACAAAAAATGCCAGATACAGTCTAAACATCTGGCTGACTGTGTGACGAACTATAGTAGTAGTAATAATAAGATTATGGCATATATCTCTGTAGAATTGATGTTGAAAAATTTGGGGACTGTGTCCAATACCTTACAAAGACCTTTTTCTCCATTTTTTTGTATATTGAAATCAGTGGCCCAGTAAATAGAGAAGTCCAAAATATTAAAATAATTTTAGAATATATTTTACTAATTAATTTTATTGCCTTAGATCAGGGGTGTCAAACTGCTGGCCTGTCGGCCGGACACGTCATGCAGAAGCTGCGCCTACCCCGTTGCGCGACGTCACAAGTTTGACATGTCTGCCTTAGATGAAAAGTGTTGCTCTATCTGATAATTTCAGATATGCAAGCCTTCAAATTTATTTTGAATGCTTCCTTTTTCGTGGATGGAATATGAGCTATTTCTGTAGTTATTGGCAAAAGAACGCATTCTCAGACAGTGTTCAGAATTAGTGCTTCTAATTATGGATTATCTGCTGTATAGATGAGGCACTGCAGTATGGTAGATGTCTGCCAATCCAAACATATTAACAAAATGGGGAGAGGCGGTTGTTGAAATGGCTTATTTAAGAATTTGTTTAAAAATTGAGAGCAATGTTTTTTACAAGTAATGTTCGCTTAATGACAATTCACTGAACGACCATTCAAAACTGCAATGGCACTGAATGGGGCATACTTACGACTGGTCCTTGAGGTTCAATCGTTGCAGCGTCCCACGTGTGATCGTGATTCAAGTGCTTGGCCACCGGCTCGCGCTTAAGACAATTGCAGCCCCCCACAAAAATGTGATTGCCAATTGCTGCTTTCCTTGCTGGCTTTTTACAAGCAAAACCAATGGAGAAGCTTGCAGGGAAGATTGCAAGTCTCCACTCCTTTCCCCTGGGCCATCCTGCCGCACCCTCCGCTCCCCTGTCTTCCTGCACAGATGCCCCGCCACAGCACCAGATGGTAATAAAGTACGGATTATGGATAATATTTGCAGTTTTGATTATAGTGATTTATTTGAAATGTAATAATTAGATAAGACTTAATAGTCTAAACCAAGGGGTAGGCCACTTTGGCTCTTTTATGACTCGTGGACTTCAACTCCCAGAATTCCTGAGCCAGCATGGCTCAGCTTGAAAACCTCTCCCTTTCCCCTCAGCATGGCTGGCTCAGGAATTCTGGGAGTTGAAGTCCACGAGTCATAAAAGAGCCAAGGTGGCCTACCCCTGGTCTAAACTTTTCCGTTTCTGTGTGCTCTCTTCCTTCAGAGAAGGGGGGGGGGGAGAGAGAGAGAGAGAGAGAGAGAAAGAGAAAGTTCTATGCACTTACAAGGCTTGAACATGTCATGAGATTATGAATCTGTATCTAAAAATCATACTTACATTGTGTTTTACAGCTGATGGCACAATTGACAGTGGCCAGGGTTCATCTCTCTTTAATGAATCATGTGTGAGTAGCCAACAGACGGTTTCCTTCACTTCCCAGCATGAACAGTCTCTTCCAACACTTCCAGCCTCAGGATATTCAGTTCCTGTTGGTCAGCCACAGTCACAACAGCCTGGAGGATACCAGACCTCTACGGTGGTAAGCACAAAATTAAGCAGAATGGCAAGAAGCCTAGAATCTTGTTCTGTTTTCCTGGATGTGTTTAGGCCTTAGGTTTTCAGTCTGTGGCTGGTTATAGGTAATATAGAAAACTGCGTGCAAGCCTCTTGCTTGCCTTTATCTAATACTGCTTTAAAATAGGAAAGTAAGCATAGTGAACTGAATGTGAAACATATGCTTACCGGTAATAAATGCACACACAGAGGTATTTGAACCTCTGTAGTTAATTTCAAGCATTGTTGAATTGTGGGTGGAATAAAAGTAATGGGATGGAGTTTCTGATTAAGTGATGTCATTAATAAAACTTGTTATGTGAATGTGTTGCAAGTTTTTAATTGCAGCTAAACAAGGTAAGAAGTATTAACCATTATAGAATGCTGCATGTAACACTTCAGTTTTAAGTGAACCTTATGTCTCCATTTATTTATAGCTTCCTTTTAATTGCTTATAGGCACAGTTCCCTTTCCCACTTTATGTGTTCATTTTTGTTACCTTATAATTTGTATCTTTTTCTGCTGGATTTTCAGAGCTGACATTGGGGGTCATCTAGAATAGAGCTCCCCGACCTTTCCGGGTTGGCGGCCTAGAGGGAAAGGGAGGAGCAGGGAAATGTGCGCTCCTGCGCACACATGTGCAAATGGCACACGCATGGCAAGGTGCTAGCACCTGCGCACCTGCACTAGCGTGCCGCCTGGCGCCCCTGCTAGCGCAAGTGGGGTGGTGCACTCACACATGCACACACTCTCCAGCCATTCCCAGGGCCCAGTGGCCAAGAGGCCATGGCCCGGTACTGGGCTGCGGCCCATAGGTTGGAGACCCCTGGTCTAGATGATCTTACCTCCTATTCGTTACACCTTTTTATGAAAAAAAAATGCTGCTTGTGAAGTCTGCATTGACAAAAATTATAACTGGTTGTAGAATCTGATCCATAGCCAAAGATTGCAACATTTGGATAATGATATATATTCATTTATATCATATTGATTCAGGTAGTTAGAGAAGGCAATCCTTTTCTAGAACAGAAACATCGCCATTTGTTTCAAATGTACTTATGAAGCTTTGTGCCCTTTTAATCCAAAGATTAAATGCAACATTTCAGTTTTAAGTTTGTTATGCATAATTTTAGTTCCTCTGATTCCATTCAAAAATATTGTTTAAACAATAACCCATTAAAAGTCTTCACATGCCTTGCTTCAAGGTTCAGTAATCATAAATAATACTAACAGTAGATTAAAAGTTCTTCTGAACAGGCCAGTTTCAGATGACAAATAGATTTCCAGAAAAAAAAGAAGTAATTCAGTCTGTTTTGAAAGTTACAGTTTTGAAGGAATCTCAGTGGAGAGATGATTTGGGAAGAAAATAATTTAAAAAAACATGGAAAAATGTTTGGAGGGAAGAAAAAAACTGGCTTTTAGAAGAGCTTCTACGTAACTTTTTTAAAACTCTTAAATTGGTTCAGTCAACAAAATAAGTAAATTACCATCTACCTTGGGAATGTAAGCAAATTATAGTATCTTTATTTTCTAATGAACTCTTCTATCATATTGTTCATTTGTCAAATATGTTTTTAATCTTAAAGTCTGAACATGTGCAAGTTATAATGTGAATCATTATTTTGTGTCATATAATTCTTAGCTGAATAAAGTTATAAAGAGATGCCTGGCAAGGCATTATTTAGGAAGCCATTCCAGTTCAAAAACAATAAACTGAAATGAACAAAAGTGCAATTTTAGGGGGGAAAAGATAACTAGAGACAGTTATATTAACATTTAATTATTAACACTTGGAAGAAAGATCTGTTCTTCATTAAGAGCTTCTTTTCTGGGCCAAAACAGAGTAAACATCTAAAGAAGACCTGAACTTGAAGCAGATGCTTCTTTTCTACATATACTATTTGCTAACTGTTGTATAGTAGTTTTCAATTTAGTGGAATTTAATAGTCAGAAGAAAACCTGAAGGCCTCTAAGGTGCACATATTATTTTTGTGTGTGATGTCTTTTCAAGTTTCTTCGTAACCCTGTCTGTTATAATCAGTATCAGCCTTCTGCCATGATTATGTCCCTGAGTTTCAGCTCATTAGTCATGTCATTTATGCTCATTTCTTTTTGTTTTTGTTTTTTTTAGCCTCAACCTGGCTGTAGCATGTCAGTTTGTGCTTCCACTCTTTCCCTCTTCCTTCCCTCTCCAGTCCCTCCCAGTGCTCCTTCCACCCTGCCATTAGCATTGTCTGTACCTTTTTCTTCTTCCTATCTTCGGACTACCCCGCAGGAAACTTTTGGTGAAAAGCTTTCCAAAGCCCTGGAGAGTGTCCTGCCCATGCATATCACCTCTCCACGCAACCAACGGCGCTCCAGCCTGCCTTCCCTCTTTGTCAGCCCTGTATGTCACTCTCCTGACACATTAAGATAAGTTACCACTAAATACATCCTGGCTTCGGTATTGGATTAGGATGAAAAAGGCACCATGGTTACTCTGTGCTATAGGAAAGCTAATTCCTCTCCTTCCTGAAGTTAGAAATTAATTTGATCAAAGCTTTGGGAAAAGGCTTTAAAATATCACAGATTTTATCGGAGCAATCTGAACATTATTGTATTATTTCAAAAACATTTGAATGCTTTCTCAGTTTGGATAATAACTAAAGGGTAAGCATCACAGTTGATTCTCATTATTTGTGGATTACATAATGGCAACTTTGCTTACTCCTTAAAATGTATTTGTAGTTGCAAAATCAATAATTGAGTACTTTTGTGGTAATTCATGGGCTTACAGAGCAGTGAAAAATTTGATGCACACTTTTCAGGATGTGCTAATTCAGTATTTGTGGTGACTTTATGAGGCATAACTTCAGCAGATAATGAGAATCATCTGGGCCAAGTTTTCTGGTAACCACATGGACAACTTTTGGCGCAGTATGGAATGGTTTATCATTCCTTTTTCCAGGATTGCTTTTAAACGTCCCTATAGTTCTGGATTTCCTAGCAGCTTCCGAGCAGTAACCAAGGATAGTACAACTTAACATTTTCTCAGCGTTGGCCTCAGTCAATTGGATGCCTCTATCTGTTATATGTTAGTAATTCTAAAGTAGCATTTATTTATTATTCAGTCAGTCAATACATTTACATGGCTGTCCATCTCAAACAAGTGACCTTGGTTGACTAACAACAACAATAAGCCAGCAAAAAACCTCCAGATAATTTGCAGCCAAATATTAAAAACAAAATAAAACAAAAAACTGTCAATAGAAATACAAATACATATATTTCAACAAGATTATAAAATTAATTCATAGGGTCCAGCAGACTGAATAACTGTTATAGAAGTTTGGCTGTATATACATGTATGTATGTGTGTGTTTCTTTTCCCAAGATAGCTGCATTTTTTAAAAAATACATTTTTCTTAAGTTTCATTATAAGATAAAAATATAGAAGAAACAAAAGTTAGAAAAATAAGAAAAGACAGAAAAATGAATGAGAGAAAAAGAATAACTTCCAAATTTCTTCGGTCCAGTAGATTGCAAAAATCAACATCAACCTTTTGCTTTACATTTCACATTTCAAGCCATTTCTTTAATTAGAAAATCATTCTAATCATCAGAACCTGAAATCAAAGTTTCATTATTTTTCAATTTCAACAAGATACTTGGCTTTCTTTTTTAATGTAATCAATTGGGGAAGCAGTTAAAATAAACAGAATTGTGCAAAGAAAATGGAAAATAATAAACATTAACCCTACAGGGATCTATAACAAATAGGACCTATAATAAAATATTGTTCCATATTATTAATCCACTGATGCATGATGATTGTTTAAATCAAATATATATATCATTTAAAACTTATTTGCACTGAATGTATTTGCTATAATAATTTACTTACTATGTGGATAACTTTGAGGCCATTTGCTTTAATTACCTGTATAACTTTCACCTGTAACTGTTGAGTCTTCTGTGCTCTTTGAGCTTGGTTGTTTGCTTGCAGATGTTTTGTTACTAGACAAGTGCTTTTATCTGTAAACTTGATTTCACTGCTCACGCCTAACTTCAAGTTATTTATGAAGAAGGTAAAACCATGTATGTATTTGTCTAGACACAATACTAAAGAAGCAGAGTTTCATGTAGGCAATGGAAAGAAGGCAGAAACAATTTTTAAGCTTCATCTGTTCAGAAAGCAACTGCTTGCTCTACTATTATGGGGGCTAAAGAAAATAATTCCTAAGACTCATATTTATGAATTTCAGGAAGCACAGAAGCTTCCTCATCCTTAAGTCCTGTTGCTTTGTGCCATATCAGTCCCCAGGACTACTCCCAGTGTAGAATATTTTACGCACTGGATGTTTTTAATTTTAGTTAAGAACAGTAGTGGATTTCTTGTTTAATCTCTAGGTAGCAACTAGAGGTAAAAGTAAAGCTCTTGATACTCAAGTTCAATACCTTGCAACTACATGGATATATTTTCTTGTCAACATACAGAAGTGATTGAAATTATTTTTTTAGGGAAGGAGAGAAAATTAGAATCACTTTCCTACAGTACAAGAAATCATTTTCCTCCATTCCCAAAGGATATGTAAGATTAATTGTCACTCCATATTTTTACTATGTCATAGGAGAATTTGCTGCTGCTTTTCCAGAACAATTGGGATTTTGATGCATGGTCTCGATTGACCTCATAAATATAAAGAGAAAAAACTAAGCATTTTAATCATATTGGAATGTATTTAATGGGAAGTTATATAAGAGATAACATATCCATTCTGGAATAATAAAATGCAACAATTGACAAATATAACCCATTTGTTATAAATAGGTTTTGAAGGTATGAAAACAATGAATAATCTGTAGGCTTTTGTAGAAGATGAAGATCTTGTTGCAGTTTAAAAGCAGATTCTCTTCCTATTTAGACAACTATTTCTCAGGAAGTGTACTGTATTGCAAAAAAAAGTATGTATTGAGAAATAATGATATTGAAGCAAATCTTCTAACAAAATGTATTTATCTTAATAAAAAGATGATTGGAAAAACAGCTTCTAACAAAAGCAAATATTCCTATAGACAACAGTCTCTGCCATGGATGTATTTAATGGATTTGTATAACACTCAAAACATGTTGTATGTTAAATATGACCTATAGACATTCTATAAGGTTACTAAAGAGAGCCATTTATTGAGCTGAAATGGTGATATGTTTCTGTAATGTCTGAACTACTTGTCTTGTTCATGTCAATACAGCCTCAGTCCATGATGCATCCATATGGGGGAATCCCAGCATTCCTAGATTCCCAAGTAATTCTTTCTACTGTTCGTGAACAGCCAGGCTCTTTCTCACCACCACCCACCTGTCCTTCAGGGGTGTCCATTTCTCAACGGCGCAAAAGTACTTCTATCCTTGAAGCCCAAACTTGCCATTTCCAGCCCTTGTTGAAGACCAGCCAAAATGTATTTTTCCCTGGTGGTAGTCCAACAATTTGGACACCAGAGACATTAGCGACAATGAGCACAACTGCTCATACGTCCACAAGAGAACACATTCAGGCTAACACTGTGTTGAAGTCGACTCAGAACAATTACAGACCTGGACAAGCAACTTCGGAGGATGCTACAAACATGTTGACCCAAGAAGCACTATATTTAGTGGGCATGCACTATCAGTCTCAATTACCCGAACACTATGAGACAGTATCCTATAATGCTCAAGGAACTGAGCAAAACTTGCTACAGGCTCCTGAACCGAGAAATGTACAAAGTGGCCCTCTTCAGAATTCTGGTTTTGAATATCAAACGGGGCAGACCTTTTTGGCAAGACAAATTCAAAATTTGAGATTGGATTCTGGAATGAATCCATTATTGCCAGTGTCCAGCATATCAGCCCCATTGAGTGGAGACGCCATACAGATGAATTTTCATCCAGTCTTTGTTCCACATTCTGCACCTGCTATACTCTCTCACAGTGGGGATGGTCAAACAAGTGTGTTTGAGTTCCATGTTCAAACTCCCAGTGTAACTGCAGGAGAAAGTACAACCTTATCTCAGTGTGTTTATAGAAATCGTCACACAGATTTTAACCAGGAGGAGTCTACTCAAAGAACTTTACAGCCTGTTCGTCTTCAGCCTGTAAAAGAGGAACAGAGTAATTATATGAGTTCTGAGTTCATGATGAGTAGAGGCAGTTCTGTTCTCCAGAGCTGGCTGGAAGGTAGCCCAGGGTATTCCAGTGACTCATCACAGTTGACTTCTTCCGATACTAGTGATTTTCTGTCGCCTCCTCTGAGTGGGACATCTGTATCATATGCTACAGATTTATCTTTTTCTGCTTCCCAAATGGCTCAGAAGGTATTGCCAGATTCACAGATCTTCATCCACTTTCCACAGGGAACTTCATCTGAACAAGCACTCTCTGCATTGGTTTCAACAAGATCTTCTGCACTCTATCCTCAGGTTACCAGTACAAATCCTTCACATTTTTCTTCGGTTTTTAGTGTTATCTTGACACTATAGTATAAGATTCCTTACATTCCTTTCTCCCTTCCCAAGATACTCTGATATTGAAGGACAAATTGTTTCTCCAGGAATAGGTTGCCTGTTGAAACCATTCTAGTCCTATCTTATTAGGAACATCCCTCAGTGGGACTATTATGTGTAGTGTTGTATTGATTGTAAGCAAATCTTGGTTGTAGGGCTGTGTAATACGGTATGGTAAATAGTTATTTTATTGCATTAAAATAAAAATCCTGTCTTTTTACTTACTTGAAGCTCAGTTTGGAAGCTCAGGTAAGTGAAATTTACAGCTTCTTTTCACCATCTGAAAAATGAAAAAAATATGGGAGGTTTGGATGTTTTGACAGCTGTTAGAAGCCCTCAAATATCCTTGTTCATTTTTATAAAAAATTAATCCAGTATTTCCTTATTCATATTGTATATTATGATTGTTTAATGTAAAATCAACAGAAATGATAGTTCACATGTATGTGGTGTTTATACAGAACATTCATATATTTTGAATAAATGCGCTGGGAATCCTTAATATTTAGCTATACAAAATTCAGGTCAACAAACCACTATAAAATTAATTAGGAGTAAGTTCTATGAAACTTAACAAAGCTTGTTTTATAGAGAGAATTGTACTTACTCATTTTATGTTTTGAGGTTACAATCTTATACAGGATTACTTAGGACTAAGTTCACTACAGGAAATCCTTAACTTATGGGCGTAATTGAATCTTGAATTATGGTTGTAAATTGTTGTAGGAAGTCAAGGCATCATGTGACTCGATCCAATTTTTCAATATTTTTTATGGTAGTTATTAAGCAAATTAAGCAAACACCGTGGTCATTAAGCAAATCAATTTTCTCCAGTGGGTTTTTTTTGTCAGAAGCCTGAAGTAAACATCAGACACTGGCAAAAGAAAGATGCAAATCGCAGTTATGTGACAGCAGGATGCTGCCAACGCCCCTAAATGTGAGTCAGTTGCCAAGTGCCAAAAATGCGACCACATTATTATGGGGGGTTTGTGCTATCATAACTTCAAAAACAATAAGTAGCTTTTGGGGAGTCCATTGTAACAATCATTAAGTCAGCGGTCATAAGACGTGGACTACCTATAAACAATATGTGTGTGACCTGTAAATAAATAGGAGTTTGACTACATAATGTATCGCTCAGCATCTAAAATTGCATTACTTCGCACATATGATACTTTCATAGAAGTATCATATGTGCACGTTAACGCAATTTTAGATGCTGAGCTATATATACATTACATATATATACTCAAATATAAATTTTTCCACTTTATCAAAAAAGTGATATTTTTGTCGCCCAGTATTCCATTTTCCAAGATTCTGCCTTCCTCCCCCAGCTTAAATATTTCAGAAATTTTACACCCCAATCCATAACTGGCACCCGTTGAAGATATGCACAAGTGGTAATAGTAGTAAAACATGGGGGTCTGCCCTATCCACTCATCTTTCTCCTTGATTAAACTAAACTAGTTGTTGATCAGTGTGGTCAAACTGTGATAATGAGACACCACAAAAATACATAGCACCACAGAAATACTTAATCAGACAATAGTAGAATTGTATCGCAATAAAGTGTGTGAATTATACAATCTTCAGCTGTTTGAAAAACTATACACAAAACAGAAAGTTACAAACATAGATAATAATTTCCGCCCTCTCCGTTCCGCAGAAAAACCCCTCTCCATGAAACTGGTCCCATGATGGTGCCCATGAGGTTGGGGGCCACTGCCTTACATCCACTTGCTATCTATTCTGTTGGAAAATTGTCTTATATGTCAAGTCCCTTTTTGATATGGGACTTGTATTTTTTTTCTTCTGTTGTTTCTATTACTACTTTTTAAAATACATTGTTACCTAATTAGAAATGAACCCACAAGCTCAGAGAAAGAACCTACACCCTCATCCTACACCTGAGCTACAGATATTCGCCACATCTTGCAAAAAAATTTAAAATGTTCATTTCCCCTGATCCATTCTTGATCTTAGCAAAAATAAAAAATAAAAATCTGCCCTACATTCAGAATATTTAATCTTTCATCCTTCACTAATTATCTCATCCTCCATCATAAATATCAAAACAGTAATATTTGTTTTCCATACGCATGCATGGATAGGTATACTTAACCACATATTTGAAACAGTGCAATATCTTTGGATTTTCAAATAGCCCAGACACTTTTTGTTCCTATCTGCCCCTTCATTGCACCTAACAGGATTGTTTCTTTATGTATAGTATTATTTTTCTATAGTTATCCCTGGTTCTTCCATTATACCATCTTTCACATTCATGGCATGCAGTTATCACCTGTACATGATTCCATACATAACAGCTTAGATTATACCAATTCATGCATTTGATATACATTTCAGCCCTTTCATTCATATTTAAACCTACACCTTCCGTTTCCTGCATGCCCCAAAAGTGCTTTTTCAAAAAGCAACTGGACTTGCAAAAGTTGCCCTTTTGAAAAAGCACCTTTGGGACAACCATGACCTGGATGACCGAGAATCTCCATAGACATATCCTACATGCATTCAGCAATTTCACTTACAGTATCAGACTACTTTCTTTTTAATCTATTATATTCTTCCTATTTCTCTTGTTTTCACACAACATGCAGTGTATTTGTTCTGCTTTCTTTCCTTCCTTTCCTAATGTTTATTCTTTACCATTTAATTCTCCACATTCCAAGCAGAAATTTTGCATATGCTGTGGCAGTTGCCAGATAGTTAGCTCTGCTTCCATTATACCTTTGACCAATCGTGATTTTCAGCTAATGCTTTTTAATAAGATAGAGAACATGGAGACTAGATAACCAGCACTGGTCGGACCTGTGCCTCATGCAACATTATCTGCTCATGATAAGAATAGTACCAGTTTTTCCACATTGTTGCAACATGCCATAAGTAGAACTAAAGGACAGTTTTACCTCAAGCATTCTCATGCTTTTCCATATAAGGTGGGGTCTCTAATGCAGTATTTCTCAGTCTTGGCAACTGGACTCCAACTCCCAGAATTCCCCAGCCAGCGTGAAGCTGCCAAGGTTGAGAAATACCGATCTAATGTAAGACTATCTTGCAAACTGCTATATGGTTACAGCCGATATAAATATATCTAATATATTTGTATACTCAAGTTGCACAATCAAACATGTACATTGGCCCCAAAACATTATCTGTTCCTATCTAAGCATTTAGTACTATGATTGCTATCTTGTTGCTATTTCTTGTGGTTCTAATAAAATCTGTGATTGGGAGGGGGTGTTCTAAGAATCTTGGAAGATGAAATGAAAATATAAACAGTTAAAGCCAATTGTACATCGAACATTTCAAAATGGTTAAATAATTATCAATTATAATTATTGCAAGACATTTCAAGAAATAGTATTTTTTTTTCCTCAGGATGACTTCAGAACTGTGTTCCATATTTCCTCCTTTATGTGAAGTTTTGAACACTGTATGTTTTTATTTAATTAAAATTCTTACCGTATATTCCTATATTTTCAGCTTAGCTACAAAATACCCACTTCTTTTGTATAGCTCTCCAACCCCTTTCTGTCTTGGTACTCGTGTATTACAAACCTAAATTCTGTTTTTTTCTTCTTTGAAAACATTTGTTTTTTATTATATATTGAGATACAGTCCAATACATAAAACACATTTCATTATATGGGAATGATCACAAAAGGTGATCGTTGCCATTCCAGTTTAAATTATTTTACATCCATTCATAACTGTGTTGTTTTGATTTTGCTTGCTTACTCATTCAAAATTTGAAATTACTAACCATTGGCTTTGGGGTGCTTTTTCTGAAAAACGGCTGATCCTTACAGTATCTTTGAGAAATTTCTAACAAGGTTCTTGGATTCACTTAGATTTGGCTAGAAAATACCATTATTTCACCTAACTAACTATAGTTCAGCATTTTGTCTTCTTAAGTGATCGATTAGGTTGATATAAATCTTTGAAAAACTGAAGGAAATTTAAAATTTTAAAATAGAGTTCAGTAGCATACTACCTGTAGAAATTGAGTGTGTGTACCTATTTCTAGCACAGGCTGTTTTGGGGTTGGCTTTTTTTTTATTAACACCCCCATACACACTCACAAACACATATTGCATTTTTATAATATTAGTAACTGAGTTTGATTATTGGAAAAATGCAGCTGCTTTAAAGTGTTGCAGACGGGTGCATTGTGAAGTTCCTTTTAGACAATTGGGATTACTGCACACTCCTAATTGATTAAAATACAATGCTTTTCCATTTCAGGGGAATTATTACTTTGCGTCATTATTGTTGCATTGTTCCCAGTACAGAAACTGATGAATAGTCTGATTCTGTTTCTCTTTCCCTTACATGCAGATGCAAGGGCAGCCATCCTCAAATGAATCATCAGTGAACACATCACAACTTTTGCAGCAAAACCAACTGGTAATGATGAATGGTTGTTAGACGTATAATTTTACAGATTGAGTGATATCCCTCAAAGTATTTTCATAGCATTTTTGGTGTTTTTCCTCTGGATTGATGTTCTAGATTCAGAAAATTGATATACATTTGGAAATACTATAAATTTAGCAACTGTAACAACCAGACATTCTACATTTTGCACATTTTTCTGTTATTGATGCAGAAATATTTTCCATTTAACTCCACTCTTGCTTTAGTCTTTTCACTTTCCTTAGGAATAGAAGCCAACATAATGAGTTGGGGCCAGTCTTGTTTTCTCAGCACTTTCAATCCTAATTAGCATCAGGTTCTGCAGATAAAATCCCTCATTGCATCATGCATTGATAGTTTTGCTGCAAGAACTAGCAAGCAAAAACAACTGTATGCTGGACAAGTGTTAAGAAGAGGAACAATTGATTTCAGCTAAATCAAAAGCTGGTTAATTTGGCTAAACCTGCTCTTAAGTTGTAAAAGGATGACTTTTTCCTCCATAGCTATTTGGCTATGATGTAAATGTCCAAACAAAATGTATTGCTTAATTAAACAAATTATATAGCTATCCAACTTACACATAGTATTTTAGAAGACTGTTGCCTATAAAAGTTGATTTACAATTCCAAATATCCCCAATGTTGAAGAGGCTGGCTTGGGCTGATTATTTGAGAACTACCACTTGCTCATTTTATTTTAGTGTCAATATGATTCCTGTTCATAGAATCCATGGTTGCAGAAGGCACATGTATTCCAAATTAAGGTTTTCTTTTAATGAAATATTTCTGAATTCATTCTCTTTTTTTATTTCATTTTTTTCATTACAGACTACCCAACAGCCAACCACCCCTCAGCAGACTGGGCAGTACCAAGTTCCACAGCCATCAGTTTCCACTGGAGCTGCTCCATTGCAGCCAGTAACACAACAAGCACAAGTAATGCCTATGCCTCAGGTACCTGCTGGGACACAGGTATAGTACAATTTGATGATTTCTAAGCTACCCTCTAGGCTGTCTAAAGTTTAGAATTTTACTTTCATGTGGATAAAAAAACAGACTATAGATAACAGGATATGTATTGCCTGGAAAATAGAATAAAGGTGTGTTAACTATGAAGTTGATGAAAGGAACATCGATTTATGAAAGGGGAAGAACTGCCTACATGAGTTTGGACATGATCTAAAATTATGTAATAGACTGGAATAAAAGTGCCTTTGGTATGTATGATTTTGAGAGTATATTGGGAACCAATAGCCCAATAATCCTAATACTGAACATTCCTTAAAAATGCTCTTTCCTATATGCCTTTCTCCTTTACTCTTGGCTAAGAAACCTTCCTGCTAGTTTTACCAAATATTTTTAATGCTCTCTTACTAAATAAAATGTAACTATTTTTTCTTTCTTGGACTAATGCAACCCTGCTTCTTAAAACCCTATCTCTATTTTTCTTTGCCTCCCCAGCTTCCTGTTTCCCAAACAGTGCCGATCATCCAGGGTGAATTACCTATTGGAGCACCTTCCCTTGCTCAGTCTTCAGCTGCCCCAGTCATGTCTCACTTCCTCCCAGTGGGACAGGCCATACAACCACCACTTCTTCCACAGTTCTCGGCCTCTCAGATGCCCATACCAGCACCTCATGTGTCTGTGGCTCAGCCGTGCTTCCCATCTCTATCCATTTCTATGGCAGCTGGCATTAACCAGCCACTGCTTACCCTGGCTACATCTGCTGCAGCAGCTGCTATTCCTGTGGGCTCAACTGTTGTCCCTAGCCAGCTCCCAACTCTCTTGCAGCCTGTGGCTCAGCTGTCCAGCCAGGTGCTCCCACAACTTCTTCAGCCAGGTGTTCAATCCATGGGATTACCTCCTACTCTGGGACAAACTGCTGAAGTTCCACTTCCACCTACAGATGCTCTATACCAGGTATTTTGGGAGTCAAGCAAAAGTCCCTCTCTGTAATCTCATCAGTTCCTCAATGTTTTAATTCTCATGAAAAATCTTGAGTATGGGAGCTCTGCTTTACGTGGAAGAAGAATAAATAGGAAAATATAGTTTATCAGTGTACCTGGGAATCTTCTGATTTAAAACTAAATCTGTGTCTAAGAAATGGGCCCTTTATTTAAAAAAAAAAAAACACTGATGCTTTTATTTTAAAAAGTAGCATTTATTATTATTTATCAATAGTGCAAAGGCAGCTACCAATGTCTAAAAAAGGAGTTAAAAAAATTACTGTTTAAACTCCATGTATTATCTCATCCTTAAATATAAGAAGGGATGTATACTAATTCAGATGCTTCCTTAGAATTGCTTGAAGAAAATGACAAGTTATTAAGATGATTTTTTGAAATTTTAGCTATTCGGTTTTCATTTCTTAAACTAGAAGGTACACTGCACAGGTTAGTCCTGGACGTGCGACCACAATTGAGCCCAACATTTCTGTTGCTAAATGAAACATTTGTTAAGTGAATTTTGTCCCATTTTACGATCTTTCTTGCCACCATTGTTAAGTGAAGCTTGCAGTCGTTAAGTTAATAATCACGATTGTTAAGTGAATCTGGCTTCCCCATTGACTTTGCTTGTCAGAAGGTCGCAAAAGGTGATCACATGACCCCGGGACACTGCAACTGCTGTAAATATGCCAAGATTTTGATCACAAATTTTGATCACATGACCATGGGGATGCTGCAGTGGTTTTCAGTGTTAAAAATCACTTTCACACATTTTTTATCATTTTTTTCAGTGCCATTGTAAATTTGAACGTTCACTAAATGAACTGTTGTAAGTCCAGGACTACCTTTACTGGGAGAACAAAGAAGAGATACTTTTGTTTGATTGCTTTTTTGTTCTGTAATTTTGTTCTCTATTGCTTTTTACATTGTGAACATACGCTCAGCATATTCTCTTTAATTTTAGAATATGAAAATACCATTTGCTTGCCTTGTGCCACAGTACTTTTATATTTTGCCAAACACACCTCTAGAATTAAAAAATAGGAGAGGGGGGTCAGATGAAATGTAGAGGGTTTTTTTAACTTTACCACGAGTAGCACAGTTCATCTTGAAGTTTAAGGGTTTGCAGCTGAAGCTCTTCTTTCAAAGAGGAGTAGTTGCTTGCTACAAAGATACAGGCTGCATGATGGCTTGGAAGGTAAAGTTGACCCTAGGGCAGGAGTAGGCAACCTTGGCTCTTTTATCTTCAACTGGGAGTTGAAGTCCACGAGTGATAAAAGAGCCAAGGTTGCCTACCCCTGCCCTAGGGCAATATGCTATGGAACTTCTGAAATAAAAGTAAATCTAAATTGGTGGTTGGGCAAAAAAAAACACTTTTAACAACCTGGCTTGCAATTTCTCCTTTCTTGTCTGTTTCATGCTGTTTCATACCATTCACACAAAAATAAGCTAACATGGCTTCCTCATTTGTCACAGGGCTTCCCACCTCGGCTACCAGCACAGTACATTGGAGACGCAAACATTGCTTCCTCTTCTGTGGCTTCTGCTTGCCTTCCTTCTGCAGTATTGTCCCCTCCTTTACCCACAGAAGCATTGGCTCAGCCAAGCTATCTTGCTGCAGTAGGGCAGCCTTACATGGAACAGAATGTTTTAGTTTCTTTGAGCAGTCTAGGAGGACAGGTTCAAGTGCCCCAGTCTGCTTCCACACAGCAGACAGCATTAGAGGTAAATGGATGGAACTGCATGTTGTTGGGAATGTGCTTTAGAAACTGAATTTCAAAGCATCAGTTATAGATCCGGTCCCATTTTCAGATTCCAGCTAATATTGTATGTTAACTTTCAAATGAATTTCTCTTACAGCAGAATGTGATGCCAATGTGGAAGCCTTGTTGCCCCTGGCTGTGCTGTTGGGAAGTGAGTGGGCCTCCCAGATGCAAATTACTTGCTAGTACTTCTCTTCTGGCTAATAATGCCCTTTAAATAAGATACAGATTCTCAGTAGTACCTGGAAAAAAAACACCTTTCCTCAGAACTCTTCTCTGCAGCCCTGTTATGACTGGAAGAGATTTGAATTACCCCTGCATTCTTCATTGGCTTTTCTGTTGCACATTCTGCTAGTAAGACTTCTGGTTGCATGGCAAGCTTTGATGTCACATTAATCTCATGGTTGACTTCTTGAATTTGCACGAGAAACCCTCTGAAAGTTAACAGTTTGAATTCACTTAGATGCTTTAAAAAATGTAGAGAGAGTGCTTTTCAGCTTCTAGTTGCATAGATTTGGACTATGACACCAGATTAAAAGTAACAGTTTAAGAATGTAATTGAATGTTAAGCTTTCCCATTGCAGGGTACAACTCCTGGAATCACGCAGATTGCACCTCCAGAGCCTCAGCCTTCAATACAGCAGCAACCTTCACAATCAACTCCATTAGTTTCTTCAATAGACAGGTAACTACTAAGCTACTGCTTTTGAAAGACAGTTGTGATAGCAAAGAATCTGATTTTCTTATTCACAGATTTGAGAATATTTTTAGTTAATTTTGCATGTAAGCTAAAACTGTGATTTTCTGAGATATTTAGAGCATGCAAGAACCCAATATATTCAGCATAGTCACCTAACAATAACTTTTTCGTTACTCTTGAAGTAGATGAAGCTTTCTTAAAGTAGGTGATATAGTACAGTAAAAAATTGTATAGTGTTTATAATTTATTGGGCTGTTGTAGATATATTCATTTTGGTGCATGCTACTTCGTTCTTTAAACAAAACTCCCACCTCCTGAGTTTTTGTCCCAGTCCTGGAACAAAACATTCTGATTTTGTTCTGAGCATAAAACAAAATTAGGCTGTTCCAGTCTGTTCCAAGTGTTGGTTTGTTAATTTCTGAGTCATGATTAGCTTGAGGGTGTGTCTTTTTTTTTCCTTTTTAAATATGCTTCCAATTTGACACTGCAGGTATTAGTTCTGTCCTTAATGCTCTTGGCTAGGACTGATGGAGCAAGGAGGAAATGGCAGTTGTAAAAATCACATGTTTCGGCTCAGAGGAACCACTGCTAATAATAATGTTGAGGTTTCAAATTCTAAGTTATTCGAAATAAGCTTCTATATCGAATGAAGGCAAATATACGTGTCCCAGGATAATGTTGCAAGATCCAATCTGGGTCGGTCACCGGGAGGAGAGGTTTAGCCTTCCGAGCTTTTGGACTCAATCTGGACCCCATCCGTTCTGGTGAGAGAGAAGTTCCCTGAGGATGGGGCTCCAGCATACGTCCTACAGCTCAGAAAGCTAAGCGTCTGCTCCTGGTGACCCAGTGCAGATTGGATCCAGCTTTTTTTATTATTGAGCTATAGCACACACTTGAGAGCTCATGCTAAATGCAAAGAGTGTGTGGCTTTTGGTTTGCTGTTGCATTTTGGTTTGTTGAGCAATGTTGGCAAGTAGCCAAATGCCTTCATTTGTACTTTAAGGAGCCAGCACCAAAGCTTAGCACCCAGAAAAGGCTGTATTTTGCTGCTATTAAAATCCACCTTCCTAAAACAAAGAAAAGAAAAGAAGACCTGTAAAACCAATTTCATTTGGAAATGGAAAATATTACTAACATTTTTCTTTTTTTCTTTTTCTTTTAGTGCTCATTCAGATGTTGCCTCCGGCTTAAGTGATTGCAATGAAAGTGTTTCAGCCTCTAGTGGTAGACATGAAGGGAGGACTACAAAGCGGCATTATCGTAAATCAGTACGCAGCCGTTCTCGACATGAGAAAACTACACGTCCCAAACTGAGAATTCTTAATGTGAGTTACCTGTTTGTGTAATAGTATTGTGTTGATTAAAATATAACACTAAGTAGTTTGGGATTACTCTGTCAAAGAAGCTGGTTCCCACCAAGATAGAAATCAAAAGTCGACTTTTTCCAAGGGGGTAGGGTAGGCTGAGATTCAGATTTGTCCTATTAATATATTTTATGACTTATTGTAAGATTTACAAATATATACAATTGCAGCAGTGCTGTTGATGTGACTGCTATCATTGTAAAATAATTAGTGAAAGCTAATTATTTGTCATTGTGTGGGTAGATTTTCTTTTAATTGTTGTCCATATAATGTGTGCATGAAATGCTACTTTGTCTTGGCTCTTAAGCCTAAATCTCGTGTAGGCTTCTTGTTTTGTTAGAGCAGGGGTCCCCAACCCCCGGGCCGTGGAGCAGCACCATGCCAGAAACTGGGCCACGTAAACAAGCAAAGCCCCATCCATGGGATGCAGGCAGTACATGAAACCACACCCCCTGCGGTCCACGGAAAAACCTCTCTCCATGGGCTGTTCATGGTTGGGGACTTCTGTGTTAGAGTGTTCATTTTCTTTTCCTCAACTCACTTGAGTGTGGACTGGTGGCTCTGCTTCTCTCCTACTTTCTGAGCTAGGAAGAGGAATTGTGTCCCATCTAGACCACTACTGCATACCACTGGTTAATAAATACTGAGCTAGATAAATGAGCTCAGTATATCTGTAGTTGATCATCTGTATTCATGTGCATTTTGAAAACCATTCTGTTTTTCCAGGTTTCAAATAAAGGTGATCGAGTTGTGGAATGTCAGCTAGAAACACACAACAGAAAAATGGTTACTTTCAAATTTGATTTGGATGGTGACAATCCAGAGGAAATCGCTTCTATAATGGTAAAACAGCTCATATGAGGACTTAGTTCACTGTTAGCAGCAATAGTTTTAGTAACTTACCCTGTCAGATTTCTGTCTCCAAAATTTTAATTTTGGTACATTTCCTCCTAAAATCTGTACTGCCGAGTCTATTGCAGTTTCTACCTTCTACTGAGCATTCAGCTTTTTTTTATATGAAAATGGTTAAATCAAAATTTGGACAGCAGGAATTATTGCCTTTTTCTTCTAAGCCAGGGGTGTCAAACTCGCAACGTCACGTGACATGGCGCAATGTATCACGACTCTTCCCCCATTGCCGGCAATGGGATGGGCGCGGTTTCACTGCGGGCCGGCAGTTTGACACCCCTATTCTAAGCTATCATTTATTTGGCAAACAGCTGCTTTAACAGCCACTGTTTGAAATTCTGAAATCAGATGGTTACTGAGTAGCTTTACATTTGGTGACAAGTTTTTCCCCATTACTAGTGTGTGTTTGAGAAAAGGTATAGCACCTTTTATAATAAATGTTTAATATGTTTATGTTGCTTTTCCTTTTTTTTTTACTTGTTAATCCTTAAAGGAGAAGAAATTACCATAGTGATTTATAATAAGCAATGAAAAGTGACAAATGAGGATCTCTATGCCAAATATTGACATATCTGGCTCTAGGGCTGTCACTGAGCTGCAAAAATCCATGTGATCACAAATGGGTAGCAGACTGAGTTGTTGCCAACTCAGATAGTAGTTGTCTAGATATTTACTGTCCAGAGTAGCAGTTCTGTTAATACCCAATTCAACTAGTATTTGTACATTTGAAAATCACTTGCCTTTTTTGTCTAGACCAGGGGTAGGCAACCTTGGCTCTTTTATGACTCGTGGACTTCAACTCCCAGAATTCCTGAGCCAGTCATGCTGAGGGGAAAGGGAGAGGTTTCCAAGCTGAGCCATGCTGGCTCAGGAATTCTGGGAGTTGAAGTCCACGAGTCATAAAAGAGCCAAGGTTGCCTACCCCTGGTCTAGAAGATAGATGAAGAATGTGTGTTTCCTAGAATGCTGTGTAGCGCATTTTTCACAGGTTTTCAAGGAGAGTGTTGCTATTGGCTCCAGAGGATCATCCTGTCGCAATTCTGTAATTACTGTAATTCCAATTTTATATACAGGTGCAAAATGAATTCATACTAGCAATAGAGAGAGATTCATTTGTTGAGCAGGTTCGAGATATTATAGAAAAGGCAGATGAGATGCTCAATGAAGATCCCAGTATGGAGGCAGAAGGCGATCAAAGTATGGATGGTATTCAGAACCAGGTATGGGTTGATTTTGATGTCCTAGCTTTATCTTAAATTGTTTCTTTTCTATTTATTCTTTTTGTTTTTGAACAAAAATTTGAACAAAAAATTGAACCATCATATGAATAATTATGGGTTTTCTCTCTCAGCAGTATGGTCCTTTTTGTATCCCTTTATTGTAGGTTTTATTTTCTTTCCTCCCTTAAGGTTTTTGGTTAGTTTCTACAGGCAGGAATGTGGGCAGAGGTACACTCGGTGGCAAGTAGCCTCTAGCTTAGAAATGTGTAGACTTCAACTCTCAGAATTTCCCTCTAGCATGCAGTCTGTACATTTTAAATTTCTGAGAGTGAGAAACACTGACTTAAGAAGACATAACACAGAAAGGGGAAAGTATGAGGAAGAAAGAAGGACTACATTTTAGTCCAGCTTAAAGTTAAATAATGTGTCTTAAAGTGCCCATCTCTCAGCAATTAAAGAGAAATGTGATGGAGCCTTATCGGTCTTTGAGCAAAGATGATAGAATGCCCCTCCATTCACCTCATTTTCTATTGCTCCAACCTGAATGGCTATTTCCTCTTATTTACTGTCCGTGTTGCAAAATGAAAAGGCAAATTAAGTGTCTAGGGCAGGGGCTCCCAACTGGGGGTGCTCGCACCCTCTGGGGATGCGTGATGATATTCCATCCAGGGGGTGCAAAAACGTGGGTTTTCAAAATTATAAGTGTAGATCAGGGGTAGGCAACCTTGGCTCTTTTATGACTCGTGGACTTCAACACCCAGAATTCCTGAGCCAGCTATGCTGGCTCAGGAATTCTGGGAGTTGAAGTCCACAAGTCATAAAAGAGCCAAGGTTGCTTACCCCTGGTGTAGATGCATAATTCGTTGCTGTTATTTCAAACTTTTGTAAGGGGTGCGAGAATATATCAGAAGTGTTCTAGGCGTGCGGGGTATAGGAAAGGTCGGAAGCCGCTGGCCTAGGGAATTTGCCAGTGAGGAAACTAAAGTTGCTTTGAAAATTGAAACATTTGAGAAATGTTTTTCTCACGTCAAACTTTTAATGATTAGGTGATTTTGGTAATGGTTTAAATTAATAATTTTCACCCGCACTAGAGTTGTCCAGCAAGCTGGGTGGTATATAGATTTAATAAATAAATCTAAAGATACAATTTTTGTAGATTTAACAACACATAAAAGCAAGATACCAAAATATCAAATAAATTAATTAAAATATTTACAATTGAACCTATGCATATTTCAGTGAGCAGACTTTATATTCCGGGGCAACATATATTACGAGTATCTGGAATATGGAGAGTCGGTTTAGTGTAATTTGTTGGACTGTACATTTTAGTTCTTCCTTAGGTATGAAGGCCAGTTGTCTTTGGGCCAGTCACTTTCTTTCAGCCCACCCACTTCACAGGCTGTTCTAGGGAAAAATGGGAGGTAGGAGGATTATGTACACCATCTTGAGTTAAACAGAGAAAGGTGAGATAGAAATCAAACACACACACACACA